AAAATAAAAACCGCAGTACAACCTTTGTTACAAACTGTAAGCTACATGGAAAAAAAAGGAAGCGAATCAAAACAGAAATATCTCTGGAACTCTACATAACACACCATATTCCTACCACATTGCAGTCCTATCACTTGTTCACACACAACATTTGAACCTGCAATGAGAAAGTGTGGGCCCCTTGCATGTGTACATCTCATTTTAGCTGCCAAAAAGAATGTGAGAATTAGAAATTTTAACAGAAACTGACCCTGGTTTGCATGCCTTCAGTAGGAGGCTCAAGCAGATGTAGCTCACTTTGCTTGACATCAAGGAAAGGATGGTCAGTGGCTGGGGACTCTCTGCACCACTTCCCTGTATAACGTGGGTAAGCCCCTTCAATGACAGTTAGGTATTGTAACATCTTTGAGGATTCAGGTCTTAGTGTCCCTACATACATATGGTGCTTAATGTGGCCTGTTGTCAAAGTAGTCTGGTTCTGTATGTGGTCCTGAAATCCAATTCCACATATCCATATTAGCTTCATAACGTACTGAAGTCAGACTGTTTTTAAACCTTATCTGTCCATACGACTGCTGATGTCAAAGCCCCCTTGCTATTCAGGAAGAATAGCAGGCATCTAGGCACCTCGGCAGTTTAGTATCAGTCATAGATTCATAGAATACTCTTGGTTACAAGGGCACTCTGTGGATCATCTCATCCAAACCGCTGCTCAGAGCCGGGCCAGCTTCAAAGTTAGATCCGTTCCCCTCAACTTTGCCCTGGCTGGTGTCGACTAGCCCCCTAACAATCCTGGTCACCGTCCACTAGACTCCCACTTTGTTGATCCTGCTGGAAGTGGCTCAAAACTGGACACAGTGCTCCAGATGCAGCCTCACAAGAGGAATAGAGGAAACGTCACTTCCCTAAAACTGCTGCCTGCAGTCTTCCTGGTGCAGCTAGCTTTTATCCCTGCAAGAGTACACAGCTTTCTCATGTTCAGCTTGCTGTCAGCCCCAGGATTAGCCCCTGAGGAGCACTGCTAGTAACCAACTACTGCTGAACTTGTAATTGCTGACCGCTACCGCCAGAGCTCCTTGGTCTTACTAGTTTTCTAACTTGCAGTCCACCTTTCCCATTTATACCTCAGCAGTCTGGCTGCAAGGTTCCTACGGGGACACTGTGTCAAAAATCTTGCTAAAGTCAAGGTAAACAACATCCCCTACTTTCCCCTCATCCAGCAAAACAATTGTTGGATCTTAGAAGGGTATCAGGTTGGTTGGTCACAATTTGCCCTGTGTAAATCCATTCTGGCTGTTCCCAGTCACCCTTTTGTCTTTCATATGCTTGGACATTGCTTCCATACAGTATGCCTTCATTTTTCCAGGGCCTGAGGTTAGGCTGGCTGTGCTGCAGCTCCCTGAATCCTCCTTGCCCTGCCTGTAGATGGCTGTGGCTGTGATATGCCATATAGGAATTCTGTGGCAATGTAGCAACCATCTCTTATTACCCAGCTCGACTCTGAGGCTAATGCATTAAGAAAGTGTAAACTACTCAGATATAACAATGTTAGGGGCCATATACGAATGTAGAAGAGATAAAGTTTTAAAAGAAACCCTAACAGACTGTCTATCTTTTTAAAATTAATCAGTGACCAGCAGGACAGGATTTCTCTCTTCTCCAATCCTCTCATAAATAATGTGTCTTCTAAATAAAACATGGTATTAGCTGCAGTCCCTGATTTTAGTGCTTAAAACTGATTAAGATCAATGCTTCAAGGTAAGCACATGCCTTAGCTCTGTCTGAAATAAGGATGGATTTAAGCACAGACTGTAAGGGGGAGGAAGGGACAAACACTGTAACCCAAGTATCCAGCTTACTGCTCCAGTGCATCTTTTTATGTCTACCTTGCCTTTAAATTGAATCTCTGATGCAGACATTCTGTAATAATACTTTGAAGTTATTTGCATCCAGTCTACAGAACCTTTTAGTTCTAGTTTTAAATTAAGGACTCCAGTGGTTTGAGTCCTTGGTAAGTAAAGCAGCAGGATTTCACACCAATCATACCAAGGCTCGGTTACATTTTAGTCACAGCAGTGAAGTGATGCATGAAACTGACTGTACTGTAAAATCTCATTGTTATATGGATGAGGAAGTGGATTCGCTCCAGACAATAAAACAATCCTAAGACGGAAAAAAACCCTCCTATCAGAGCTTTCAGCGGAGAGAGTTGTTCAGAGAAAAATGTGTTTTGTTAGAGGGTCGCAAACCATATTCTAAAGTTAATTAGGTAATGGGAATTGTTCTTGGGTGCCAGTGTGATCCTATCAGAATACAGTATACGCTATTCACAGAAGATGTTGGTTGCTCACCTTGTTCCACCAAGCACTGGAACTCAGTACTGCAGAGTCAAAAAGAACACAAGTGTTTACCTCCAGATGAGTTTTGTAGAGGATAACTTGTGTATCTCTTAATCTCTTTACTATCTGTCCTGCTCTGCTTGCAGTTATTTTCAGGATTCCAGGATTTCACTACTGAATTTCTTCATTTAAACATGGACTCTGATACTGGAGATGTGATATGCTCAGGTGCTGAGAATTCACAACTTAAATGAAATCTCTGGGATTTAGGGGTCCTGAGAACAGCTGATAAATCAGGATCAGAGTGCCTTGAATATAAAAACAAATAGAGAATTTGTGCACTTCCATTAGAAAAATTCCCTCTTTTTTTTTTTCCCTCCAAAATAATTCATCATAGAAAAATGCACTAAATAAAATATGTTGTGTCATTGGCTGATTGTAGAATTCCTGAAAAATCCATCCAGCTTTGAGCACTCACTGAAAATAGCTGATCCCTTCACACTGCATGAAGCAAAAATTACGCTAATTATCTAATTATTCCCTCCTATTCTTTGAGCAAGTCGACAGCTCTCCACAGTACTGACTCAGATACAGCTTGAGAAGAGACCCGGCAAAAGACTTTTGAAAGTCATTAAAAGTAGGCTTTAGAAGGCCAGTAAGCCAAACTTTTCCTCCAACGACAGCCCTTTTTAGAACAAATATGGTTTACTCTGATCTTCCCTTGGACATAGATGCTAGTTCATTTGACCTGGATATGGGCGGTTTTTAATTACCAGTCTGTTGCTGGAAGCTTTGTTTCCATTGTTGCAAAGCAGCAGGTATTGTAATTAAGGGCTGAGTTAAGCCTTTGAGCATTTTATTCTGACCTGGTCTGGGGATGCACCATCTACAATTGCCATCCTAGTCTGCAGGCCAGCCTGTCCCAATAGGAACCTGCTCATTTTGATATCCTTTCTCCTGGATTGCTGCAGTGCGATGTCTGGAAGTTCTGAGCCTTCCCCTCTGGAAATCTCATTAATCATGAAGGCAGTATATTTTCTGCCCTTTTCTATTGGTTAGTTTTTCCTTCTTGTCAATTGGCTCAACTTAATAGTGGCCAGACATTTCACATGATCTGTGAGCAAAGCTAATGGTGAAGGTCTTGATGGGAATGTTTACAGGAGTGGGAAACACTTCCTTGTGAGAAGAATTAGCCTGAGAAGCCAGAATGAAAAGGAGTGGCTTTGAGGAATGACAACAAAAAACAAAATATCATCTGTTAAAACAAAGAAATCAATATTCACTGGTCTTCTAGGTCCTGACTGTGGCCATTCTGGGCATATTTTTCTCTGAGTGCATGACTATACCAGCAACTCCATTGATTTTGTGCTTATATCAAGAGGATGATATATGACTCTTTGTAGAGATGCTGGTTCTCTGGGGAGAACCACAGAGATTTCATGGAGAGATGTATCACAATTGCTATAAAATCCAAATTTATCTGCTATATTCCCTTTGACTGAGATAACACCTTGCCAGAAAAGTGAAGCTGTTATGATTTTGTATAATAGTACTTACACTATTTACATACCCTTACCTCTTGTATATCTGTCTTGAACCAGATGAATATCTCAAAGCCACAATGTAAAGGTGCATGATATTGAACACGTGCACACACAGTTTCTTCCACAATTCCTGTAAATCACTGTCAATACACGATGTATTTTTCAATGATAGTAAGGGCTGAGCCACAGAAGGTATAAAAAGTTGTAATGCTCCTGACTTTATTGGAGGTTTTAATGTATTTATAGTAAAGCATAAGCATAGCTCAGGACTAGAGATGGAGTTGAGGTATTAAACATTGAAATCTGATGTGTTCACCAAGACTCTACTATTATCTCAGATCTCATTTGAACCATCCGTGTTTTCCTGTTGATATATCTATCAGTAAATATTGGATGGGGTAGGAGGGGATTATTGTCTGTCTCTTGTACCTTCCAGTCATTTTGTCTGTATTCTGCTGTTCAGCAAAATACAGGCCAAAATTAATACTGCTTTAGCTAGATGTAAAAGATAGGTGTCTAGACTCTGTCTATAAACAATACGGACAGGCAATTCAAGAAGGTGAGATATGCCATTTGTCTTAACCTTTTGAAGTAGCAATGAAACAATTTCCAAAGGCATCTCTCTGTTGTGCACAGGAAGTGCATTGGTTAAACTATTTGCCTTTTATATGCCTGTAGTTAGCCAAATAGAATTCTGCCCATTATAAGAAACAAGAGCTTATTATCTAAATAGGTAAGATATAAGCAGAATAGCAAAAGTGAAGAGAATAGCAAAAGTGAAATATCTCACCCAAGGATCCAGCAGATCAGCGCACAGCAGATAAAATAAGCGGTCTTCAGCTTTCAGGATAAAATTTTGCTGCAAACTTGCCCTTCAGCTTTATAGTCAGTGGGAGTTCTGCTATGGGATTCAGTGGGAACAGGAGAGCCTGGATGGCCACCTGTAATGATTTAAAATTGATGGGTTTATCTTTGTCTTTTCAGAAATCACTTCTATCATTCATGTATTTTCCAACCACTGCCACATCACTTTGTGTTACTGGCTGCCGGGGGAACAGTATAAACCATGGGAATATGCCTCTCAGACCTTACTAATAAAACCTCTTTTGCATTGCAGTTGACCTGGACAGGTTGAATGATGATGTGAAACGCTATAGCTGCACTCCAAGAAACTACTCTGTCAATTTAAGGGAGGAACTGAAGCTGACAAATGTAGTTTTCTTCCCCCGCTGCCTCCTTGTCCAGCGCTGTGGAGGAAATTGTGGCTGTGGGACTTCGAATTGGAAATCCTGTACATGCATGTCAGGGAAAACAGTGAAAAAATATCATGAGGTATTTTCACTCTTTGATACTTCTTTTGGTAATTCGTTGCTTACATGAATTCTGAATGCTTTTCTCAGAGCTGTGTGCTGTCATATTGATTATCATCTCGCATCTGCAATGTGAAGGTAGGCAGAAATCACTGACCACAGTAAAATCTCATGGGCAGAGATGCTATTGAGAAAGGCAGATGTTGACCAAAGTGTTTAGGTGGATGCCCACTGTGATCACCATTCTGAGTGGGGAGGGAGGATCTGCCTAGGTTTCCAGGCAGATTTAGGTAGCCTGAGTGTGAAGCCTATAGATTTACACAATGGCATCGCCCTTGCTGTCTGCGCTAGATGCTAGCTTGGTATCTCTGTGATGCAGCATTCACACCTCCAACTACAGCAGAGCTGCAGAGAGACACACCCATGCAAGCAGCCTGCAAGAGGACCTAATTTTATCTATGCTTAATATTAATGGTTTAAAGTACCACATTAGAAGACACACCTAGTGCATGGCTTCAGGATACTGTAGTTTCTGTTTTCTCAGAATTTCTATTATTTTCTTAATTGACTTCTGCCTTTGAGATACAGATATAAAAATGAAGGCTCAGTGAATTACATTTGGAATTGAATGAGTAGAGTGAAAGGAGGTTATAAATGTGCTAGAAAGGGATGTTAACAGATATTTACGAGTACATTTACAAGAAATTTGAGGGGAGAGCTTCCGCCATTGCTCCATGTGGGTGCTTATGGCAACCTAGTGAACCTCATTGCAAGAATGAGGCTTAAGTCGGGCTGACTTTGCCAATGAAGGACTGATACGACATGAATGTTTACACCAGTGGAAATATTATTTTTAGGAGTACAATGACATGTTCATCTTGAGATATTTACCTGTTTTTTCCCTTACACTATATCTTTCAAGCTTCTGACCACACTTGAAAAAGACAATTGTAAACTTGTAAACTCTCTTCCCTTACAGATTTTTTTACTTCTAGGAAGCGGCTGAATCTTTTTGCCTTAACCTTTTTCACGTTCAGAAATTTTTAGGAAGGCAAAATTTGTGCATAAGAACGTTATAGGATAGTAACCATTATATTTATTTTTTAATCCATTCAAACTACGCAGAGAAAAAGTCGACAAGGAAAGAACATTTCTTGCCTCTAGAATAGCATTTGCAGCACCAAACTGTGAACATGTATAGGAAAGTTATTTGACATTATCCTTTTTAGTGACTGAAACTAGGTAGCTATATGCCATGCCGACTTAATTTCTGGCACACATCTTGCTTAAGAAACTGCTTTGCCACTTGACTTAAGTCTGAAGTGAAAATGAACTGCATGGACTCTTAATCTGGAGGTGATTTGCGCTCCTACTATAAAGGCTTTAGCTCAGGAGAGGGCCTAAAGGTAGCTGAAATAACAATAGCTGCAAACAGTAGTTTGAAATAGGAGGAGGCTGTTGAAGGTCAGAACTTTGCCTTACTGTGAGCAGAGTGGTTACTCTTTTCCAGAGTAAGAGATTTTTCTCACAATTAATTGCAGAACACAGCATACCGCACATCAGCTAGCACTGGAGAGTAGTTAATATTTTATCTAATTTTAGGGAAGATTCAAGGGATGACCCTGGTAATTACAGCACAGAAAGCCTTATCTCAATGGTAGAAAAGTTAATTGGAAAAAAATTTAATAGGGTTATGAAACACCTAGAAGAGTATGAACTGATAAAATGAAATCAGAATGCCTTATATTTGAATAAATATTTACACATTACCACAACATTGTACAAGAACACTAAAAGGCCTGGTGCTCCCTTCAGAGAGCTAACAATCTGCCAGAAAAGATCAGTCACGGATTAGAAACTGATTAAGAGATAAAGAGCAAAGAGGTGGAATAGATGGGCAATTTTCTACATAGAAGGTGGCTATCTGTGGGTGCCCCAAGCATTCTGATTAAGTAATATTTCATGTAATCTGGAAGGAGATGAACAGTGAGGTGGCAAAAATGACAGATAACACAAGATGTAATATGCTTTAACCACAGAGAAGGCTGCATGGGATTTGAGAGAGCCTGTGTAACTACTTGTAAATGCACTATAGAAAAGTATCAAGCATTAGGAGGCACAGTCTCAACGATTTATTCATATAAACATTGTATAAAAACGTATGAGGGGATGAGGGAGAAGCAGACAGAAATTTGTCCAGAAGTGGACAGAAGTTTGACTGAAGGTCAGGTAGCGAATCACTGCGCGGAGCTTAAGGAAAACACTTGTTTAGTGCAGTGGTGGTAGAAGAGAAACAAGGGACAGTGTTCTGTGGATAGAATAGAGATGGATAGAGAATAACACACCAAATATTTATCATGGCCTTAGATAAATATATGGGGTGCTTATATTTTGTTTAGACCATTGGTGCTCAAGATACAGGCAGAAAGCGAAAAGGTACATAGAAGTGGAAAATATGCATCAAAGGGGGTACAGCAGAAGATACGCAACAAAACATCTGTAAGGAAAGAGGCTCAAAAGTTTAGGATCACTTCATTTGGAAAAACTGTGAATAAGAGAGGACAAAGTAAAAGATACAAAACAGTGAATAGTACCTAAAGGAAAATCAGGTCCTCCTATTTAATCTTTTCCTTAAGAAAAGAACAAGGGCAGTCTAAGTAAGAATGCAAAGGAGCTAATTTAAAATGATAAAAATGAATTTATTTTATTTTTTGCACAACAAACCTGTACAGAATTTCAGCACTTAAATTTGTGTATAATTTAGAAGGATTCAGAGAGAGTTGGAAGTAATAACTAAAGTATATATTTAGTATATAAACTAAAGTCTCCTGGGTCATATCAATGTCAGAACTTAAGCCAAATATTGACAGTATCTAGAAAGAAATGCTGTTTATAAACATGTTATCAAGTAGTTATTTATTAACAGGTGTCTAGGAGCATCTGGGACAAGGGAATCTCATACTAACAGGGTATTGGTCAGAATGCCATCAAGACGGCATGATATACATCCCCCCCAAAATTAGTCAGTAAATTCAGAAAATTCAATATTCTCAATGACGTATCACTGCTAATTTATTTCACTGCTCCTTTGTTCTCTGAAAACCGTTTGAATTAAAGACAGTGTTTCAGCTTTAACATTAAATGGCTTTTGTAAGTTTAAATTTAAACTTAATCTCTTAGGGATGAATTAACAGTTCAATGAGCAGAAATTTCGTCAAGCGGCTGCCATTAACATGAGTGGAAGTCATGCAGATCAATTTACATATGACATGCTAAAGATGTGTCCATTAATTTTAGTCGAAAAATTTTCCACTTTTAAATCTTTCACTATTATTATTATTGGCCACACACAGCTAATCATTTTTATTCTTTATTCTCCTTCTGCACGTAGCTATAATTTTATTAAGAAATATCTAACAGTGAAATCACTGAAGAGGAGTTTCCCAACATGCAATTATTAGAAACGTGTAGCTGGTTTATTCTTTTTGGAGCCAATTTGAAACCCACTAACTTCAATCAAAAAGCCTTTAGTTGCATGTGGAAAGACAGAGTTTCATACTTTATGAAGTGACGTCCCCAGAGCTGTTAAGTTTGTTAAAAATCCCTGCCTTTTTTTTCAGGAGAATATAGACCAGATTCAAATGTAAGTCTGAATTACTTTGATTTACTTGCGAAAGAAACTAGAAGAAAGTATAAAATAATGGAGCAAAGAAAACTTATGTAGTAGCTGAAACTGAATCATACAAACTCCAGGTCTCTCTTCTTCCCAGGCTCATTTTGCCTAAACGCTCTCTAGAGCTTCAGCTACAGAAGTCCTGGACCTACCATAGGTACTAGTCCTGTACCTGGATGTTTGTCCTCAACAGTGCGAATCTGACTTGAAATCATGTGAAAGCTGTTTAGTGTTTTTGAGCTACCTAGTATTCCTGTGTGAGAAAGAACGGTAGGCAAATGTTCCAGAAGTGATACTCTCCTTTTCAGCTTTGTGGTCAATGTCTCGCAGTCGTCTGAGTAATTGCTCTGGGGTCACTAATGCCCTGAGTGTTTGTTGAGAGAGAGGCTTATATTCCAGAGAGTTTTCAAAGTTATTTTTTCCTTATGCTTTTAATGCTTTTTAGTTTCCCCTTAGTTCCTATTCAAAGTCTTACATTGCACTCATCACCAAGGTTTCAGAGTACTTTCTACTTAGTATCGTAGGACTAATAGCTGTCATATGTAGCCTTTAATTTCTTCAAGCTGTGAATCCTGCTCCAGTTCTCTGAACAGACTTCTGCTGAAAAACACCATGCTCTGTGGTTTTCCATAACTTCTGGGTTTGCTTGAGGCGAGAATCGTGGACAGATACTCATGACTTACCACGTAATGTCACAAACCCTGCAAACCAAGCAGTCCAATATTATCTCAAAACATATCTCAGCCACAGTGATCCTGTGATCACAGGGCTCCGTACAAAGGAAAGGCAGAGCAATTCATGAAAATGAACACATCACACCTTAATCAAAGGCTCATGTCTTCTGCTACCTAACTTCCTAAGAGGAAGCTGATATTAAAGCATGTTTACCATTGCAGTGCATTTCTATGGAAATGCCTGGAGCTTCCTGTTAAAGAGAGAGGAGTCCTAAAACTGGAGATAATGTAACACAAAGGAGATGCAGGGAAACTTCATCCAGGATTTAATTCAGCTAGAACTGAGTCTGTGTCATCCACCAGCATGTTCATACCTCACAGAAACAAGAAATCACTTTCCCCATCTCATTGCTTTAACTGATGAGATGTGAAATGGGTTTCCATGAGGAATAAACACTCTTAAGGTAGCAACCAGAATTTGTCATACTGTATAAACCTCCACAAACACTGTACTGTACAACACAGCTTGAAGGCATGTAAGCAAAAGAGCAGAGTGATTGAAGTTGATTGCACCTTTTGCCTACTTACTTGTGTCCATTGTAAAGAGTGATGCATTTATCACTGTGTGTATGTTAACAGTTTCTTTTTTTATCTCCTTTTCACAGTATTACACCT